CCGTTAAGTGCTTCACCGTTAATAAGGGGTAATTGTCCTCCTTTCACTGATTTTGAAGCTCTTTGCACAAAAAAAACAGTTTAAGGGCTTAGAATCTTAGATGCCATTTGATTGACAACCTGGAGGGATTTTTTGTCCTTTTTCCCTACTTCATACTCCCTCCGTAACTTTAGAATCTTCCCATTTCAAAAGTAGGTATATTAAGAATAGTGAAAGATGATATGAATTATTGAGGGTATGATGGGAAAATAGTGGAATAATGTGGTGGAATGTAGGATGAATCCAAAAAAAGTAGTTGTAATAGTGTACTACCTCCGTCCCTTAAAACTTTGCCAAGTTTGACCGGCACGGAGATTAATAAAGTAAAAACTGTGTGGTTGAGGTTTGTGCAGAGGAGAGAGAATTAACTGGAACCACAAATTCTTTACTTAAAATAGAAAGTGGCAAAGTTATTGGGACAACCAAAAAAGGAAAGTTGGCAAAGTTTTAAGGGACGGAGGGAGTATTATTTTATAAATTATTGAGGGTATGATGGGAAGATTTAGAAATGGGAAGATTTTTTTGTTACGGACAAAAAAGGAAAGTGAGAAGATTTTTAAGTTACGGAGAGAGTACAATGTAAGTGTAATTGGGACATTAATTATTGGGTCGTACGTTTTCTGTCGAATTGAAAAGTTTATGATAGGACAACGTTCCAATGCAATAAAGAAAGTGAAAAATTGTAGGGAGTATTAATTTGGATCATACTCCCTCCGTCCCGCTAAGATTGTCCCATTTTACCTTTTCGTGAAGTCCCACTAAGATTGTCTCATACCAAATTTGGTAAGGATTGTGTGGATCTAAACCATTCTTACTTTATTCTTACTTTATCAATTTAATATCAACCACACAAACCCACTTTTCTTAATAATCGTGCCACCTTCTTCCGTCCCAATCTTAGTGGGACGGAGGTAGTATGATGTTATTTACATTTGGATCTTACGTTGGCATCATGTATATCTATATACTCCCTCTGGTTCTAAATAAACTTCACACTTTCCTTTTTCGGACAGTCCAAAATAAACTTCACACTTCCTTATTTCCTTAATTGGCAAAGAAATCTACATCAAAACAGTGCTAAACAGTGCCAAACAGTGTCTCAACAGTGCCAAACAGTGTCTCAACAGTGTACTCTACAGTAAAGTCAACTTTATTTCCTTAATAACTGTGAAGTCAAACACTGAAGTTTAAAAAGAACCGGAGGGAGTATCACTCATTCTTGAATCTTGACTAGGTACGTTCTATAGTTTAATGTCAACAAACATTTATATTTTCCATTCACTTTACATGATCTAAAAATTATTTAACTAGTGTATGAGTGTATCTAGTATTTATTTTTTGTTTAATTTTAAGATCAAATCTCATCTTAATTTTTCTGATCTGATCTGGATCTTTATTAGCAATCTTGAGTAGTGACTATCAGGACACTACTCAAGATTTTCATAAACCAGGTTCTAAATAATGTTTAATCAATATTTTGACAAGCTAAAACTAATTAGAATGAAGATTGTATATAGATTGGGTCTCGAACAAGAACAATAACAAAAATGACAAGAATAGTAAGAAAGATGTCAAATGAGCAAAATAGAGAGTAATTTTCAGTGTTATTCAAATGAACAGCCTCCTGATTACAATAGAGCTCAAAACTACTTATAGGAGAGGTAATTAATGTCTTTTGCCAGTTATTTACGGATTCGACCGTTGTGACGACTGACGATATTCAATGTCGTCATTAAATTTGGTCAACCCATTTTTAGTAATTCCTGCCTTAATTACATTGATAGCCATAATAACACTTATAAAATCGTTATAATAGCTAGTAACATTAAGACTAATAAATACGTCATCAATTGTCACGGTCAAGTCTCTTAAATGTAGAATAAGCTGTCAAATTATTGCTCTAACAATTGCCCCCTTTTCGAGAAGTTGAGGTGAATGATGCATATGTCGACCTATTCAGCGACAGCTTGTCGAAAAATTGAAAGAGCTTACACTTCGCATCTTGGTTCATTGTGCCTATTGAGACATCAATGACTTGTCGCGGTGGATTGATCAACTCGTCTGACGAAATGGTTCCGTCTTTCTTTCATGTAACTCTCGGTCGAATCTTTCTCCTTGATTGAAACACTGAAGACGAAATCCAACATCTTATCTTCTTTCCTTCAAGATTGTTTTGGTGACTAGATGACAATGAATGGGAACTTCGTCCACGACGATGTTGACACTTCGGTTGGCAAAGGGAACTTCGTCCGTTGGTAGAGATTACGAGTACTATTTTGTATGTGGTTTTAGCAATATTGTTGACATGAATATTCATGAACGTAATCAAAATCCTGCAAAAACTTTGAATATTATTTCGTATGTGGTTTTAGCAATATTGTTGACATGCATATTAATGATTTATGTCAATGTCGTTCGTAGTGTCTCCTTATGTTTTGGAGCTTTTGTTGTCATGCTCTTGGAGCACATGCTTTTGTTGAGTATTTCTGTAATTTTGGTCAAAACTACATTGCGGAGAATCGGTGGTGTTTATACTCATCTTTAGCGTACATGAAAACCTCACTTCTTCCCCTAAGATCCTGTAAGCCCCCGTCGGTTGTGTTTTGACGGGGTTTTTTTTTCGGCAAAAAGGGATGCCCCCAACAGGAACAAACTTATTCAAAACAAAAAACAATGAAGCATCTTTACTGAGAGCTCTGTCGCTCCCTCCTCGAGCCTAATCCGACTCATTGCTCTGGTATTAGTAGCACTACCACCCCAAACTCTGTTTTGACGGTTTTGTAAGGCTTTGTTTGATGTATGTTAGGATTCTGTCATCGTCAATTGTTATTTGTACATGTGTAAAACGGATTTGCCGAAGCTGGCAGTTGGCTATGAGCCAACGGCCCTCCGATGCTTAAGTTAGTAAATAATCGTTTGATAAATTTAAATATAGTGACGTGACTAAAAATGATAGAGTTTTAGGTGTACCACATTCCAACTTTTGGTTACTTGTTTACCGTCTATCGATTCCAGTCGATATGCTCCCTGTCCGACAACCTCGATGATCTTGTATGGACCTTCTCAATTTGGACTAAATTTTCCACTTGCTTCGTTTCCAAATGCACGTCGAAGAACCCACTCGCCTTTCTTGAATACTTTTGCTCGGATATTCTTGTCGTAGCTTTTGGCCACCGTTTGTTGATATGCTTGCATTCTAATCTTGGTCCGTTCTCGCAACTTGTCGATAGTGTGTAAGTCGTGAATCAGTTCCACGTTGTTTCTCTCCTCAGTGCTGCCGTCAAAATTCCCTGATGAAGCCACCTTTGGTGGCAGCTCACACAAAACTCATAGGGAGCGAGAAGCACATTATGATTTTATGTTACTTGTATAAAATAACATAGAAAAGTACATTACATAGTATCTTTTTTGTCTCGTGCATCACACGGGTACTATACTAGTTGGATGAATAGAAATTTGGGATATACTAATGTTATCATTTAGCTCATTTTGTCAACTTTAGCTCAATGTTAAGAAGACTCTTTCTATAATTATTGACTGGACTTAAACAATTTCAACTTATTGTTGGTTAAAATTTCAACCTCCTTTCCAGACCTCTCTTCCAAGATAAGTTAGAGATTTAAAGAAGGGAAAATGAAAACTAATAATTCAACCTTTTAGCAGTCTTCTTACAATAGTCCCACCTTTTCGTTATTCAAGAATAATCCAACCTTTGCACCCCATCTTCATTCACTGGTCCCTTACCGGTTGATGACCTACTATTCCAATTTATTTTCTACTCTTTGCAAAATATTATATTTGTGAAAGGTGAGATTTATGGTATAATAGTTTGCAAAGATAAAGAAAACAACTTGAAATGGAAGGTCATCAACAGGTCATGGACCAGTGAATGAAGATGAGGTGCAAAGGTTGGATTATTCATGAATAACGAAAAGGTGGGACTATTGTAAGAAGACCGCTAAAAGGTTGGATTATTAATTTCCATTTTCCCTTTAAGGAATGTATATAACATTATATTAATTTAGACCATTCAAAGATGGTTAAGTCTAAATTAACCTTGGGATATAATTTGAGATTTCTCAATATGTATTTCAGCTATTGGATTATCTATCTATTCTAATATACTCCGTAGTACGTGTCCCATCCATAGCATATTTGTTTATAAACCATTGTTTGTCGCGTGGAGCATTTGTATTGGAGGGGCATTTGTATGGCTAGGGTTGGGCTCTATATTTAGTTGCATTCCTCTTGTTTCTCCGTTTTTCCTTCTTTCGCCTTGTACTTTTTCCTCTTTTCTTAATAAAATGTTTTCTTTTGCCAAAAAACAAAAAGCATATGGGAGTATAAGAAATAAAGAAATTAATTTTTGGATGCAATCATGTGAAATTCTTTGAAATAACAATTTTTACTTTGAGAAATCTAAGAATATAACTGTCAAAACATTTCCACAAGAGAAATGGGGTATATAAACTCAATCTCAAACTATTAACAATTCTGCAATTGAGCCCTTGAATCGGAAGACGTTGCAAATACATCCGTTGAATCATTGAAATAACGCTATCAACCCTTGTTTACATGTTGGTGTAAGTAACTTTTCACGAGAATGTTATTGTCTTACCGGTTGCGGCCCTTATTTTAGTCACTCGAGTGGTTTCTTATATGGTCTTCTAGTTTAGGCCTTAGGGGCATGGTTACAAAATACGATAGTACCTACTACCTAATAGTGCGAGTACTTACTTCTTTTTTACTCTTCAAAAAAAAAAAACTGCGCAAGTAAATCGGCCCCAACTTCTGTTTTGCATTTTGTGTAGTAAATTAAATTCCTTCCACTTGTAACAATGAGATCTCTCGTCAAAAACTGCCCATGCAAACTAATTTTAAAGCTGACCATACCGCATAAATCTCATGTCCATGAATAATTGGATGCCTTAATTTGTTTTCCATCCAATCCATCACATGCATTTCTATTGAGTCTGCAACTTTAGTTTTCATGTGTAACTTAACTTCTTAATCACTTTTTCTACTCTTGTCTAGAAACAAAAATATCAACATACATCATCATGTTTTGATTTTTGAGTCAACATGTTTAATGATCATCGGTGATGATATCATTCGATTTTAAATACAAGTAGATGCTTCAAAACTGAGTGTTGACATATGATGGAATTCACAATTGGACATTTATCACATAATGGTTATAATAAAAGTCTTCAATCTATGTCAGATCCTTCATGTGATTCTCCATTACATGTCCCCAATTTTCCAGTATCTCCAAGAAATTATCAATGTAGCAACAATGGAAGTTCCTTTAGTGTGAAGAGAACTTTGAAAGCTCAAACAGATGGTTGCCCTAAGAAAGGTTTCATAATACACATAAAAATCAATAGCAAATTCACATTATTCTTGAGTTTATTAGTTTACTGGAATACCTTATTTTGTAGCCTTATCATCATCAATGTACATATGCAGGTGAAAATGGAGAAAAAGGAACGGAAGGAGAGCCACTTGATATTGATAATAACGGTGGTGTCCTAGAAGCAGATGATCTAAATTACACCAACAATGAGGTATTACATACTTTGAAACATTCTATAATGATTTTCGATGAAAACAAAAAGAAAAACACAATGTTCTAAGTTATGATATACTACATATTTATTTGGACATCTTGCGATCTTAAAACAAATCAGACCCAAGCAAATTGCATTTCGTTAGACTAAACCTGACGAGCATTGCATAATTGATGTAGTATATGGGTCAGGATCCACAACCCACATCTTCAAAATAACTCTAACAAAATTTACACAATTTATACAATACTAGACTCAATAGGAGAATACGTATATAAGGATGTTTTTACTTGGACTGTAATTTGTCCCAGACCAAACCAGTCCAGACCAAAGTTGGATGGTTATAAAAATACAAAGAAACCAAACATTAGCAGACCAGACCAGTTCACACCAGACAAGACTAGCAAATTACAGTCCAAGTAAAAACATCCCAAATAGACCACACCAAGAAAATTCAGCTTTAGAAAAGAATTGTTATAATTACTACTCTTGTATATAACCTCTTATAATTTTTTAAACCTGTGAGACATCAATGTCTTAACTTTATAATTTGTAACTCTATTTTTCTTGATCAGGACAATGAGCAATCCACGATTGGCGCAAAAACATCTGAAAATTTTGAGGAGTATAAGAAGAAGGTGACACTAATCTTGGAGGAGTACTTTGAGAATGATGACATAAGCTCAACCGCAAGCGAACTGAGAGAATTGCGAATGCCTGACTACAACTTCTATTTCGTGAAGAAGCTTATATCCATGGCAATGGACAGGCATGACAAGGAGAAGGAAATGGCTGCTCTCTTGCTCTCCTCGCTCTATGTTGATCTAATCGAACCCCAGCAAGTCTACAAAGGTTTCACCAAACTGCTAGAATCGGCCGATGATCTAATCGTGGATATCCCAGACGCGGTTGATGTTCTCGCTCTGTTCATAGCCCGAGCGGTGGTGGACGACATTCTTCCGCCGGCTTTCTTGGCCAAGGTTGTCGCCTCCTTACAGCCTGGGAACGCTAAAGGAATAGAGGTTATCAACCAGGCGAAGAAGAGCTACTTATCAGCTCCACTTCATGCTGAAGTGATTGAGAGGAGGTGGGGTGGGAGCAGGAAGAGAACCGTTGATGATCTTAAGGGGAAGATAAACAATTTGCTGAAGGAGTATGTGGTGAGTGGAGACAAGAAAGAGGCTTTCAGGTGCATTAAAGATCTGAATGTTCCTTACTTCCACCATGAGATTGTGAAGCGGGCAGTGATCTTGAGCATGGAAAGGGTGGCAGCAGAGAGCAGGGTTTTGGAGCTGCTGAAGACAGCAGCGGAGGAAGGGCTTATCAATTCAAGCCAAATCACAAAAGGGTTTAGTCGGATCATTGACTCTATTGATGATTTATCTCTTGATGTACCAAATGCAAAGTCCATACTCCAAATGCTGATATCCAAGGCCGCTTCAGAGGGGTGGCTATCTGCCTCCTCTCTGAAGTCAATATCATCTGTTCATCCTCCTCACTTTGGTAACTACCTTGCATTCAATTACTCAGTCTTAAAAGTCTTTTTGTTCATCAAGGAAAGGGGACTAGAAAAACTAAGCTAAGGCTACTTTAGGGTACCCAAAAATGCATCAATATCAATAAAGAAGGTACTCCATAATATTTATGCATCTTTCCTAATTTCCCCTATAATTTTCTATAACTATATCCTTTAGAGAAGCAGAATGTTGCAGCAAAGAGCAGCATAGTGAAGCGTTTCAAGACGAAGGCAGAATCCATAATTAAGGAATACTTTCTGACCGGTGACATTTTAGAAGTGAGTAGGTGTCTTGAATCAGAGATCAACAATAACAGTTGCTGCCAGTTTTCTTCCGAGCTGAACGCCATCTTCATCAAGAAACTGGTGAGCCTAGCAATGGACCGGAAGAATCGAGAGAAGGAGATGGCGTCTGTCCTGCTATCCTCCCTATGCTTCCCAACAGAGGACACGGTGAGCGGTTTCACAATGCTGATCGAGGCGGCGGAGGACACGGCCATAGACATCCCGGGGGCGGTGGAGGATCTGGCGATGTTCCTAGCCAGGGCGGTGGTGGACGAGGCTCTGACCCCACAACATCTAGAGGAATTAGGAGGAGGAACCCAGAACAATAACAATCACAAAGTGGTGGGTATGGCGAAATCACTGCTAAAGGCGAGGCTTTCCGGCGAGAGAATCCTGCGGTGCTGGGGAGGAGGCGGGAATGGGACGAACGGGTGGACGACGGAGGAGGTGAAGGACAAAATGGCGAAATTGCTGGAGGAATTCGAGTGCGGCGGGGACTCGAGAGAGGCTTGCCGGTGCATAAAGGAGCTGGGGATGCCGTTCTTCCACCATGAAGTGGTGAAGAAGGGGGTGGTGAAGATGATGGAGAAGAGGTCTGACGGCGGTGGCGAGAGGGTGTGGGGTTTGCTAAGAGAGTGTTTCGGGACGGGGCTGGTAACGATGAATCAGATGATGAAGGGGTTCGTGAGAGTTGGAGAGTCGTTGGATGATCTGGTTCTGGACGTGCCTGATGCTCGAGACCAGTACCGGTGCTATGTTGACCGGGCTAAGATGGAAGGATGGTTGGAACCCACCTTCAATCCTGACTTTCGTGCCACTCCTGTTGGCTATTAAAAAAATATTTATGCACACTTTTTTGCAGACACCAACTTATTTTTATGCAACATGATATGTTTGTGAGCATACTATTACAGGCAAAAGAAACAAAATAGATGTTCACAAAATGACATACACATGTAAAATAGTGTGTATAAAAATGTTTACAAGAAGAATCTTTTGTTAGATCAATCTTAGTTCTTAACTCAAAATGTTTGTTAATTAACCACTTCTTTATGCGTTATTAATGTGATTTCTCTGCTTCTCTCATCAACATTTTTTGCTCGGAAATTAAAATTATATGAAAAAAATACTAGCATTTCTTTACTATCTTCTTAACATTCATTTTTTGTCACTCACGATCAACGTTCATTTTCATAAAACATTGTCATATTGAATTTTTTTAATAACAACCCTGCTATAGGTACCCCCAATTTATACCTCAGCCTATTTTTGTGGCTCACAAAAACCTACTTCAATAAATGAATTGCTCCATTTTAATGAGCTGCTTTTGTGAGCGACAAAAATAGGGTGGGAGTATAAATTGGGGTACAAATTGGGGTACCTTTAGCATTTTTGTTTTAATAATTATAGACAAATTTCACCACTGATATTTATAAATATAAAACTGAAGATTATAGAAAAATGCTTTTTTGTAAAAAATGATTTTAGAAAAGTATGGTACTTATAAATTTCATATGAATATATAATAGGAATATTATCATTTGGGACCTCAAAGTTTAGCGTTTTATCATTTAGGGACGCAGAAGATAAACTCTATCGGTAAGGGCCTATAGTATTAGAATATCATAATATAACGTTCGAAATTTTAACATCATTAACATACAACTTACAGAATCAGATGTGGCACCACCTAAGTAAAAAACAAATAAATATTTAATAACAATATAATGAATCAGAAATTATCCTCCGTATAAATTTAAACTTATATGCAGCCGCCTATCCTAGAGTCAACTACTTTCTTCTTCGCATACAAGATTCTACAATTCTCATCAAAGATTTGTATGTTGTCGCATCCTTTGTACCACATCTGCAATCATTTAAAACATAATTTTCTTTCATCATCATCATATGCGGTTGTGGATTTGATAATTCTTTTTCTTCTTCTAATTGTACCACGTGTGACGTTTACTTTATAAAATGTTGTCATGCTTAAAGGTTGATATTGTCAAAACATGGTAATAACTACTCTTATACGCAGGGGCGGACCCAGGAAATTCATGTTGGGGGATTCAAAATATTTTTGGGGGGTGAAAATTATTTTTTGAGGGGCGAAAATTATTTTTCTTATATATATACACTAAAAATGAATTTTGTTGGAGGGGCGGTAGCCCCCCTGGGTCTGTACTACGGTCCGCCCCTGCTTATACGGGAAATAAAAACATGGAAGTCCTGTTTTGAAATTTTAAAACGTTTTTACTTTTGTTTAGGTCAATTATTCTGCAATGTTTCTTTTATATATTAATAATAATCATCTTTCAGGGGGTCGTAGTTACGCGAACATTCAAGTTTAAGTCTTTAAACTTAGGTCCCTAAATGTATGCATTCACGTGTTTGATTGATTAATAATGATGTTGAAGCCCCACGTCGAAAAATTGTGAAGTAATAAAGTGCTATATTAAGACATTAACTATTCCTCCTATCACGTTGACATTTTAAAATCGAAACCGAGATCATAACACTACTAGAATTTCTTTCATTTGCTGCTCCTTATTTGCTGCGGTTATAAAGTAACCGCAGCAATTATATACGATTTTGATAGTTATTGCTGCGCTCACAAGAGGAACCGCAGCAAATATTAGTTTTTCTCATCTTTTTGATGCGGTCACGCTTAAACCGTAGCAATATGTCAATATGTATTGACTATGTGATGCGGGTCTGTAGAAACCTCAGCAATTATGGTGCTGCTTAGGTATTTTTCTAGTGAACTTCACAACCTTCACTGATACCTAATCGACCCCTCCTAAACGTTAAACACAATTCCACCCAAATCGCCCCCGCTCTACCAGAAGCAAAGCCGACGCCCTCTCAGCATCAAACTGCCGACGCCCCACATTAAGTCATAGCTACACCTTCAACCGCCCTCTCCTCCGCCTCACACCTTTATCCGCCTCCTGCCGCTCATTTTTTAGAGGTATATTGCTCGATCTTTTATCATTTGAATACTTTTTCTTTTTAACTATGTATCGTTTTTTTATGAAAAATGTAATAGTTCTATGAATTCGTAAAGTTAGTGATTGCTTCATGAGGCCAGAGACCTGGAGTGGACGGACGGAACCTTCCAGGCGTCATACACGGCCGGCTGCGGCTTCTCACCTGCAGCGTGGATGAGCAGCTCTGTCCGGCTCTCTTTTTCCTGCGAAGTGCTGTTGGAATCAAGGATGTTAGCAGATGGACGGCCTGCTTTCCTGTGCTGTTCTAGGCTCGACTATATTCAGAAACTAGGGTTTTCAAAAGGAGACGCCATATTAATGTTCAGGGGGTCCTTTCCTTGTTCTGCTATAGTGTTGAAGAGAATATGGAGCTAAAATTCAATTACTTTATGTTGAAATGGGGAGGGAGTAGAAGGAACTGATTGATTTCCCTCAATACTTCTCCTATAGCTTAGAAAAGAGGATAAAACCTTGACATCAGACTTGTAAGGAGAAAGGGTTGTATTTGTCCTTGCCTTTCATGTTGAAGTTGCCAGAGGTGCTATTTCAAGAGAGATTGCAGGTATGTTGTAATTCATCTATGCCGGTGAGATATTCTCCTTTGTGGTGTGTCGGAATCTGATCATATGTAAAGATATAATTTTCTATCTAATTGATCATTTCCATGCATATGTTATTGCGACAGAAAGTGTAATACTTCACATGTTTTAGTACATGTTTGATAATTTGCGTCTTCAGCACCTACAGAAAAAAAAAAAAAAAAAAAAAAAGAGGCTGAGAGGGGAATCGTGGCGAAACTTTGATAGATAACCAGTTACCGATGATCTTTGTGCTGACGTCTAAGGAGTCTGTAGATTAACCGTGGCTTTCACGCTTATTGTGATTCATACTCGAACATATTCTGGGAGTGGGATGCTCCATTGTGCCACACGAATCTGATGATTCTGGTATTCAGCCATTCAACTTAAATTCTCCCTCCTACCCATAATTACCTTCTTAAATTATCATTCCTTTATTTAAATTCTCACTTCTAATTCAATGTGAACCGAAGATGATTCTTGTAGCAGGTCGATTATTGCAAGCTCTGGACTAGGAGAAGAAGAGGTTAGGGTATTAAACTGGTATAAATCTTACAGAGCCTCTCTGTAAGTATGTACATCCTGTTTGGTTATATCTTTCTATTGTTTGACTTTATTACATTTCTTGTTCTTCTGTCTGAGTGTTTTTAAGTTCACCTTTTAAAAAATGCAAGTAACGAAAAAGTTTTCTTTCTCGACTAAAATTTGACCGAAGAAACATAATAATTACATGCATCTAGAAATTGATGTCAATATGTGTTATTTGTTGGTTTTTGTGGGAAATAATTAAAGTTTGATATATGTGGATTTCATTGCATTAATGTGGGTGGGGTTAATATTATTGTCATAGCCTTTATAACAATCTGTTATATGTGTAGTTATTCACAAAAAAACATTTGTACCTTAACACCACGTATGTAGTGGAATTTGATAATGTGTTAGTAAACAGAACTATTTATCATCTAAAGTTTTAGAAGTTGGAAACAGGTTCAAAGTTTAAAATACTTGAAGCATGTAAATCTGTATGCATGAAAACTAAATTCCACTTTTGATGAAGTAAATACCTAGAAAACTCTTCAAAACTTTGTCATTTAACTGAAGTTTATTACTACCTATTACTTTGGATTTATAAATTAATGTTTAAAGTGTATTCTTACTTAGTTTATTTAGTTACTTATCATTTTACTAAAATTTTATATTTCAGACTTGGCATAAAGCATAACAATTCAGATTTGGAAGAATGAGGTTGGATATACTTCATACTAACTCCGTCCTAAAACACTTAGCCATCTTGAAAACTTTGTCCAACTACATATTTTTATTGGAAATTATTTATAATATAAAAATAATATGAAAATATTCTTTGTTAAAAAATACTTTCATAAGAGTATAAAATTTATAATTTTCATAATATAATTCTAATCAAAATGAAGGTATAGATTTTAGGAATTGGCCAAGTATTTTGGGATGGAGGTAGTATAACATACGTAGTATTTTCTATTACTCCTATATTGGCTTGTGTGTAAATAATTTAAAATTATTTTTGTGTGTACATAATCTAAAATTATACACTATTTGCAAGGACTTAGAAACATATTTAAGCCATATTTATATATTGGACATCTCAACTATTGTAAAATTCAACTTCTCTTGGTATTTTATGAATTCCCTCACCTTTATACTTCTATGATTTTCTCTCAGAAACATATCTGAACTGTAATATTAGGTGATGGAGGTCATCTCTCAGTGTGTTGGCTGAAATTCGGGAGGATGAGATGGATAATTGTAGGCACAAGTTCAAAACTTCAGATTATATGGAGGGTAGCAAGATGTTATATACCAGGAGTATGTTTTGGTGCTTTGGTAACAGTTATCCAAGTTATTTATTATAAATTTTGTAAAAATAAGTATTGGTTTGGTAAATGTTGAAATAACCCAAGTGGTAAAAATGAATTTATTTGGCATTGATTTAATATGAAATCACCTTCGGGTCATTACTTGTTCCTCCTTATAATTTAATCGTAATCTAAATTGTTTCCGTTGCTTACTTTAGGCTGAAATTCCTGTTAGATTTAGAGCTATAAAGTCCTAGTAGAGCTATGGATCATAATCTGTTGCTACTTGCTTTGTCTCTTTCTAACTTGGATAATCTTTTTGGCAGAGCTTTATTGTAGCTTTCCTTGCAATTGTAGTTGCAACTTGTTGTACGGGAACTGATTCAAAACAATTTCAGGTTTGTCTAATAGTCTTTAATTTTTAAGATTTCTCATAGTATGATTTATTTAACCTAACATTTTTTATCCTTGGAAATAAAAAGTTCAATTGTTGAAGGATTCTAGGCACGAAGAGGAGCTGGAGGAGCAGGATCATGTTCCATATGGATATAGATTGTTCCACTTTGATTTTGCTACAAGGGTCATGTATGTATTTTGCAATAGAGATTCATGATATTTAGATGATGTATTCTAGGTTTAATTTTGTTGTTGTATTGGATTATATAATGTTTTTGTGATATACGATAAGTGATATTGTTGGTGATTCATGAAATATATTGAAAACTATTTTTTCTTTTCAAACAAGTCTTGTTATGGTGTAAATATGTTTAAGTGTGTATTTAGAAATGTAAAAAAACAGGTTGCAATTTTGTTGTGGTAAATCTCAATTGCTTCGTTTTTAAAAAGAAGACCCGTAGTTGGTAAATCTTAACTGCTTCCTTCTAAAAAAGAAGACCTGCAGCATGTTACATATCATAGTAGTATTTGCTGCGGTTGTTGTCCAACCGCTGCAAAAAGTATTTAATTTTTTTTATTAATTAGTATTTGCTGCGGTTCACAACCGCAGCAAATAAGTAAAATCACATATTGCTGCTCCTCCAATTGCTGCGGTTACGAACCGCAGCAAATAGGTGAAAATAACCGCAGCAAATAAGCTTTTTTCTAGTAGTGTAATCTGATATCAGAGACAAAATAATTCATAAACATGGTGTGAGATGCCTTATGAAAAATGACTACATGATTGTTAAAAAAGGAAATTTGTTTTTTGTCATACATTCCCATAAATGATTTTCTAAAATGATAAAAAGTTCATCCAAATACCTATTAAAAATAAAAGAGTGTGTAGGCTCATAAAAATAAAGTACTCGATCCAGTGGCGTTTCCAGAAAATTCGGCCAGTAGGGGCGAATTTACTTTAACAGTATCACACGTATTTAGGAAATAAATATTAATTAATAAATTGACCGTTGATTAAAAATAAAATAATTTTTTTATAAGAAATAAATGAAATATGTAATTATAAATTTGTAACTAATTTAAGTTAAAAGTAAACAAGTGTGTTTTAATACTAAGTGCAAAAGGATGTGATTGAAATTACATATAATTTATTAGTTACATTAAAATAAATTATTTTAAACTAATTTGGATATTAGGTTTAGACATTCTATTGTTTATTAAATACAAAACCAAAAATATATAATAAATGGATGACATATGTAATTATAAGTGATTTGAGTGACAAATAAACATGCTTTAATATTAGGTGTGAAAAGATGTAATTGAATTTAAACAGTTTCAAAAAAGGATTAAAATAAAACAAAGAAGAGTTGCCAAGGGGATTCAAACCCTTGACCCTTCGGAAGGGCATGCACCATTCCACCCGCTCAGCTATAGTGCTAACTTGGTATAGAGATGTTTTAAATAGTAGTTATGCTATGTGTAATAAAATGATATATGTATAAAAAAGAATTTGAAATATATATATATATAATGGGGTTGAGTGGGGGCAGCTGCCCCACTTCCCCATAGTAGATACGCCCCTGACTCGATCTATACATATTTTGGATTAATTACAAGAAACGAGTTATATACTTGCACATTATAAACTCTCTACAATGTGGAATGAAACTAACCAGATAAAAACTTAAGATCGGAAAGCATTGCACTCAAAGTGCTTATTTGTGCAAACAATTAATAAAAATATATATTCATGATGATAACTAAAGAAACTAATGGGAATTTATTAAATAAAATAATGTTAATGTTTGTGACGTCTTCAACATTTTGGCATATCATGGGGAGATGGGAGCATTTTCTCACTGGGCCGCTTTCCATCCTTAACTATAAAGGCCATTTCCATTCCCCAACTTGTATGTCGATCAAAATGACAGTGCATAAACCACACCCCTGTTTCAAAAAAATAAATAAAGGAATATTAATGAAAAGTACTACGTATTTGATTTGATATACTCTCTCCGATTCAAACACAAGTTCCAGTTCGGTTTATGATGCTTGACTGACGATAAAGAAACTCGGTCCCTGTTCACACTCGTATTATTTTTAGTAAATAAAATTTACATATTAAGAAACTACATCAAAACCGCTACAAAACCTGGTCAAGAAAATTTCAATCTAATAAAAATTTGATATATATAATAAAAGATTAGAAGTGACTTAAGTTCAACAATGAATAGTGAAGTGTAACTAGTTTTTGAATCGGAGGGAGTATAAAGAACAAAACACATAATATATGACCGTTCAAGTTAAAAAAACAAAGACTCTATGTGATAATAGTACATACCAGGATTCTTAGCTGAGAACCTAATGGCAGTCCAACCATTCCTAGGAACTGCAATTGTGTTCACATGAGGTGGATCCACAAGATTATAGTTCTGAGGATCTTTGCTCTTATTGAAATTACCAAATCCCCAACCAACAACGTAAAAACTGTGCCCATGCAAATGCATCGGATGATCGATCCCAGAAAACAAATTTGTTCCTTGGAAAACAATCTCCACAACTGTGCCATATTCAAGCACTTTCACTTCTGTTCCTCGATCAGGTGTCCGAAATGTAACAGGAAGTGTTGCATTCGTGAAATCGAAGTTGAGCGGTGGAAAAGAAGGGAATTCTGTACTATAAACTCCCTTGATATGCTTGTAGTATGCTTGAAGAATATCTATTTTGGGTAGAACGAAACTTATGTTGTTCACACTTGCCGCGAACCTACTGACTTGAGGTCCAGCACAATGAGACGTGTTATTATCAGCGCATGGAAATGTATTGATCGAAACAGTGTACAACATATTAGTTGTCACGTTGAGTGGGACATTTATGGGATGATCTTTATCGGCTAAGCTTCGGAGCTTTCCGGTGAAAGCGACTGAGGAATTGGTGTCATTGAAAGCCGGGAGAACGGGCATGAGTGGCGAGGAAGACGGAGTATAATTTCCACTATATTGAACCACGGCTGTGGTGGTTGTGCGATCGAACCCGGCCCCGGGAGAACTACTATAGGCTTTGGCAGCCATGTAGTAGTGGTTCGGGGGCTGATTGGCTTCTAGCAAGAAGTCAATGGTTTGACCTGGGGAGATGGTAATATAATCACTCTTGAATGGCTTTGTGTAGGACCCATCTGTTCCCACCACTGTAATTTGGTGGTTAGCCACAGAGAAGAACACCATTGCGTTCATCACAGCACCCACCATGCGAAGCAAATAAGTTTTCCCATGCTCTACTGTTAACTTGAATGTATCTGAAATTAATTATATCAAATTAGTTACTAGTACGGAGTATTAATTTAATAACACAATTCACAAGTTAAAATCGCTAGAGTGTACTACTTATGTACCATTTTTAGAGCATGGATAAAGATCTCCGGGTTGGCCATTGATGAGAAAAGCATCAGAGACGTTAGGGTCTCCCCCGCTAGAGAGAAACTGGTTGAGAACTTGTTGAACGTCACTCTTCCACCACTCTGCTAACACAATGGGCACTTCAGCAAAGGGTTTAGGGAAAGGATATTGGGTGCCCTTGGCGGGATAAACAATGAAGGCACCGTGGACTGTGGCACGAGCCCAGTCACTGTGGGCATGCCACCAGATGGTGCCTTCCTCCATTGAAAGCAATATTCTCTGGCTAAACTTGGTTCCTGGGCGAATGGGGCACTGGGTTATGAACTCGGGACCATCTGGCCATGGATTCCTCGGCTGTTTCACGCCATGCCAGTGAATCGTTATGTTTTGGGTTCCCTTGTTGTAAACGTCAACTATGAGGGTGTCTCCTTTATTGGCGTAGAGAACGGGACCAGGGAATTGTCCATTCACTGTTATGATCTTCTTACTGCTGCATAGCCTCGTGTAGGCTGTTTCTTCAACCTGATTCATAGAATTTATATATCATCAATATCTAAATAATACTACGTACTACATATATGCATGCATGGATTCATTCATCAATCCCTACATATGCATGATTGAGCAACTTTAAGCATGAAATAAAATAATACTCTTCATCTTTTAAAACTTTGTCAAGTTTTCTTTTAATATGTCTCACTCGTTTTGTCACTTTCTCTTATAAGCTAAGTAAAGAATTTGTGATTCTAGTTAATTCTCGTTCTTTTGCACAAACCTCTACCACACACTTTTTTAATCCTCATGCCGGTTAAACTTGACAAAGTTTTAAGGGACGGAGGGAGTATTAATCGTAATAAAATTATTACTTAGTGTTACTCTTAGTATTAATATTGTTATCATCACCATGACATTATTCCTATTGCTACGTTATGTCTATTCTAATCTAAGATTGGAATAGAATGGGGATAAAATGAAAAGTAATAAAAACTATACTTATTTAGGATAAAGTTCCATATGAGTTACACATACTAGCTCCCATCCCTTTCTTTTTATTTACAGCACTCTCATTTTCGTGTTTATTGATGCACGACTTTGACTGTCAACATATTCAATCCTGATCTCTAATCGTAAAAAAATTGTGAAATTATATTTTGAAAAATTTTAATGAAATGAATGCAATAAAATATTTCAACAGAATACTTATATGTTAAAAAATACTTCGTAAAACATAGTCAAAGACTCAAAGTAAATCATTATATTATTTGAATAGTATAATATTCTAACATATTACAAGTTACAACTACAAAGAAGCAGAATAGTATATACACACATTTATACATTTTGATGATAGGTATAATGAGGATAAGGATAATGTCACTTAGTTCTTTTAATATAATATTCAATTTAATGTTAGTCAGTAATACTCCGTATAATACGTAGTACTATCACTATGTACACAAATTTTGCATATATATTAAGAGGACACATGTTATTTTGAACCGAAAAGATGAAAATATATCAATAGGAAAAGAATTAATTTAAAAAAATGTTTTGAATTGAATTCGCTACAGGAGTAGTAAGGGTTATTTCTGCGCCGCGCCGCCACTGTAGCTAGATGAAAAATGATCCAACTAAATGCATAAAGTAATTAATGACAAAAGGTAAAATTTTCTAAATAGAAGCAAAAAAATTGAAATTCCGAAATAATACAGTCATGTTTTTTTATTCCATAAATACAGGTAATCTCTGTTAAGTTTGGCACTATCCGGCTTTAGACATGGCAGTTTCTGTCAAGGTTTTTTCAAACTTGACAGAAATTACTCATATTTAGAGAATAATAACATGAAAGCCCTTTTTTAGAATTTCAAAACATTTTTACTCGTAATTAGGACAATTTCTAATGACAAAATTAATGTTAATTAAGTTGAGAGTAACTACTCACAATGAATTTGTGGCGATGAACAACAGACGCTTGGACCGTAGCTAGAAAGCTACAGAGAAGCATGGATGGGAGGAGGATGATTAACACTTTTGAAGCCGACCACATCATTGCATGCATATATTTAGCTTATAGCTAGATATATAGTTGATCAAAGTGCTATATATATATATATGAATATATGATGTGGTTTAGCTAGCTAGGACAATAATATATGATCAAAGTTCTATCTTCTTAGCTTCTGTGTTTAACAGTTGTTTAGGATGCAAATGCAATGGACAAATGCTCTAAGGTTGCATGTCTTTATAAGGGGTCGAAATTGAATATATATGCGTTGACCACGACGGAGGATTTTGAATTAAGATCAGATCGGGAATATAAAAGTCACTTACGTTATCTAAATTAAACCACGGTTTTTATTGGTTCAATTAATTCCAATTTCGGACTTTTCTATGTTGTGTAGGAAGGTTCTTATTTTAGTTATTTCTCCATATAGCTAGTATACGTAGGATTTCCACCTCCAAGTCCTCCATGCGCATGCAATTTAAAAGTCAAGCCTTGTAATAATAAACGAAGTACTACCTATATTCTTGCGAGCAGCGTCAACAAAAATAAAAATACAAACAATGAAAGCCTTTTAAAATTACTGATATTTGATTTAATTGATAATATAATGCCCTCGGATTTAAATTTTTACTTGTGTCATTTTAATTGATTTTATATGATTAAATTTAAAAACTATCTTAGGTACTTTGTGCGATAACGTCACTATTAGACGACTTCTAGTAGATGTTATAGGTTCAAATCTCATTCTTATCGAATACTCCCTCCCTCCCTAATAACTTTGCCAAGTTTGACCGGTACGGAGATTAATAAAGTAAAAACTGTGTGGTTGAGGTTTGTGCAGAGAAGATAGAATTAACTGGAACCACAAATTCTTTACTTAAATGAGAAAGTGACAAAGTTAATGGGACATCCCAAACAAGAAAGTTGGCAAAGTTATAAGAGACGGATGGAGTATGTGACATTGCATGCATCATCATTAAACATATACTCCTTCTGTCCGTTTTTATTTAGATAAACATTAATTTCCAAGTCAATGATAAACTTTGATCGATTATAAACATTAATTTCCAAGTCAATGATTTGATAATGTTTGTTGTTAAAAATAATATCATAAAAGTAAAAATTTATTAAGTTTCACATGAATATTTTAGTTATATTAATAGATCAAAATTAATTACTACCTCCGTACCAAAAACATTTGTCGTCATATTGACTTTTCTTAGTCAATGATGACAAATTTTAGACAATGATTTTAATTATTATATTTGTATCTAATTTATAAATTTTATACTTTTATGAAAATATTTTGAATAAGGAACAATTTGATGTAATTTTCATATTCTAAATAATTTCATATTTAAAAAATATCATTAGTCAAAGTTGATTGTCAATGACTAAGAAAAGTCAAATTGACGAACCTTTTTGTACGAGATGGAGAGAGTATATTTGACTGGAAAAGTCAAGCTAAGATGACTAACTAAAAAGGGATGGAGGTAGCTTAGTAACATACGTACTAGTAAGTTAGAAGTGTTCTGGCCCCAAAAGAATTAAAAATGGCTCAATTTATTAGCCAGACTATAATACTCGTATTGTTTACAATGGGAGACAGTACGCAAATTAAGAAAAGAGAAATACGCGCTCACTTTTAGTTGCAACATTCTCAAGCTTATTAACACACACTTTGATCGTCATTATATTTCATTCTCTATTAGTAAAAAGATTTTAAAAATCGGATTATGAAACTTTGTAAGGAGATGAATTCAACAATATTTTTCAAAAAAAAAAATAATTCGCATATATTAATAAATAAAATGTTATCAAAGTAGTGTACATGAATAGTGTGTAAATTTCAATTTTGCAACTAACACAATACGAATGATATATAGTATGTCAATTTTATTAAATAGGACTAGAAATAGGACTAGAAATGATATTACTCAATTTTAATTTACTTTAAGTACAAATTAAATGATAATCCAAAATAATACTAGCACTCCATGTAGCACGAAAACTCTCGGAAAAGAGTATGTTTACCGCGGAAACTCCTGGAAACTCTTTGTAAACTAAATATCCGTTTTTTGAGTAAAATTTAACGTTTCGCGTTTTTTGAGTAAAATACCTAACACTCAGTAGTCCTTAGTCTTATTGTAAAATTTCCTCTGCCAAATAGCCATCACAACCGGACCCACCGTCTGCTCCCACCAAGGCATCAAAATTGTAAGACAGCCTCACCGCCGCCTCCAAACCTTCTGTATCAGCTAAAAAGTCGTCGGACCTCCGTAAACCACCAGAGGCCGTCTATAGTCACGAGCTAGTGGTCGAATTCTAGCCTCCGTCGGCAGTGCTAATTAAATCTTAGGAGAAATTGGTAAATCCTTATGCAGGGGCGGAGCCAGGACACTGGGCCGGACTGGACCGGTACAAAAAATATTTCTATAAAAAAATTTACACGAAATTTTTTACCTTAAAAATTAAGCCATTTTTAAAATTTGGGGTGAGTCATGGCCTAGATTGGCCCACCCATAGCTCCGCCCATGTCCTTATGAAAGTGCTAACCTGCCAAACCCAAAGGGTATACTATCGTATTATAGACCAATTATATTATAGGGAGTACTTCGTATTACCCTTTCTAAAACATGAATCATATCATTAGTAGTTTAGTAATAGTATTTAAGAGATAAAACCAATAATGTAACCCTTTGTAAGGAAAAATGCTAAAGTGATGTCCTATGATTTACCCTATGAAGATCAATTTTTTCTTTTTCTAATTTAGGCCCGCGCGTAGTACTTCGCATTTGTTTTCAATTTGATCGTATAATCTCGCAATTTTTATTTCAATTTTTCAGTTACTTCATATGTCAACAATTTACATCCTTACGTTAAGATTTGATAGAGTAATCTCCTGGTCAGGTAGTTCCTGACCGGATCGCAACATTATCCGGTCACCTCTATTTTAGGAGATTTCATATGGAAATTTTTAATGAAATTTTGTGAGCATGTTATTCATGAATTTCAGATTATATTCACCAAAATTCAGTTTAAAATTCAATAAAAAAACTTCATCAAATAAATGATTGAAAACACTGCTTCAAAATATATACTTCTGTCCCGAAATGAAATTCCTCATTTGACCTACAAACATAATTTGTTTTGACTTTCCAAGTATACTCGTGGTTAACAGTGATACTACTTATTCTTTTGTAGAAATGAGAACTTCTTTTTGGGATATCCACAAAAGAAAAGTGATGACTTCTTTTCGGAAAATCCCATTAAGATTGTGTCATATCAAATTTTATAAAGTTTGTATAGCTCTAAATCATTTTTACTTTTTTCTTACTTTATCAATTATATATCAACCACATAAACTCATTTTTCTTAAAAATGGTATCACTCCCTCATGTCGCAATGGTGGTGGGGCGGAAGTAGTATAACACAGTGTGTTTCAATAATTCATTCAACTGACTTCAAGGTAGAATTTTGAGCTGAAATTCGATAGATACAATATAAACTAAAAAGATGCTTATAAATTTCATCAGAAAAATCCACTCTAAAACATCTTAAATGGAGGAGACCGGCGGCGTTCAGGAAATTTCTCTTTTTTGTAAGGTTTGATTTACTCCATATGTTTTATTGACCCGATAGATCAGATCACTTAAATAAAAAATCGATTACGAAAACTAGGGACACTTAGGACTTGTAGGTAGCACTATGGACTAATTAAGGTTGTACGGAGCTGTGAACACGCAAGATAATATGGTGTAAATTGTGGAAATATGTCCCACATTGACGCGTTCCAATTTAGATACATCCAAATAATTACGAAGAGTACAAATTTACTTTCTCCTCAACCCACCGAGATTATATTGCTTGTGAAACTTATGCGCGCACTTTCAATTTGACACCCCTAGTTTCCTCCTACGCGCATAAATGCATAATGTGGAATAATAATGAAAAATTGGATTTATGGTTCGGTTGTATTCGGTTTCGTTTTGGTTTCGGTTTATTCGATTTGGGAATTTGTATCAAACTAAAACCATTTATTTTTCGGTTTGGTTTCGGTTTAATTCTAGTTCGGTTCAGTTTGAAGTTCGGTTTACCAAAGTAAAAATATTAGGTTCAATTTAGTTTGATTTGATTCGGTTTCTTATGTTTATTATTTTATTTGATCAAATTCTATATTTTAGAATTAGAAAATGAAAGTAGTAGTCCATCTCATCTAATATACTTTTTTTTATTTAAATAAAAGGTAAAAAGAAAATAAAAGATATAAAAAGAAATAATAAAATATTATAAATTAAAACTTCTAACATTTTTTCGATCACTTTAAAAAGATTCACTTCTTACAAAAATAAAATTTGTAGTTGATTAGCATTTATTCAAATGAATCATGTAAAAACTATAAATGCGATTTGCTATTGTTATCGCCAATTATCCTTTCATACATTTAGAGTCCAAAACATAACAATTATAAATATGTTGTATTGGCTAACTTTGTCATAATGAATGTATGAAATGTATAAAAGTTAAAATGATGTATGCTAAATATGTATTTTTCACATCTAAATTATTTCTTAAATATTAAAAATGAAGAGTAAATATAAATACAAAGTATAGATATGTATATATATATATATATATATTAAATATATAAACTTAATATATATTATAATATATATAATATATATTATAATATATATAATATATATTACAAGTTCTTCGGTGTTCGGTTCGGTTTACGGTTTTTCGATTTTAAACCAAACCAAACCATTCGGTTTGAGAAAATTATTACCAAACGGTTTACTCAAATAAACTCAAACCAAATCAAACCACTAATATTCGGTTTTGGTTCGGTTCGTTTAAACCAAACCATTTTGCCCAGCCCTAATATAGAGTATATAATTACCAAGTCCAAAGTCATTATATCTCATTCAAATAAGAAGGGACAAATTTAGAAGTCTTTCTACTCTTAGATTTTTGTGTTATATACTTTGTAGTTTGTATTACATATTTTCGTGAAGTTTTCATACTTGTATTAGATATATAAGTTCGCCCTCCTTAAATTGTAGTTTTCAAAAATTAATTTATAGTCTTACATAATGTAATACTCCATTTAATGTTAAGGAGAATTGAAAAAATAAAAGAATTTATATTTATTTGGACAAATAAACAATTAAACAACTCTTTGAGTTAAGGTTTATGATACTTACTCTATAC